ATTCTCCCTAACCATGAGGTTGTTTGATGAGTTCTTGGACATTTTGGAAAGCTTGGAATGTGTACTACAATCCATATTTGAAATGCAAATTGAAATTCCAAGTGGAAGCATGTGAAAAGTGGTCTTGAAGTTAGGCAAAAATCCTGCCTAAAATGGTTCAAAATTTCTCTAAGTTAAGAATGGTTTGGTACCCTTGTTCCAAAAATTGTAACTTGAGCTACAAGCTTCTTTTGGGAAAACTTTGTGAATCAAAGTTGTAGATTTTGCAATGGACTACAACTTTCATGTTTTGACTTTTCCTTGAATCCAAATGAATCTTGGTGAGAAAGTGGGACAAAGTTAGGAAAAAATTAGGGTTTTTCATAACTTAGAAAAATTCTAAGTTATGAAAAATCTTCATTTCAAACCCTAATTTGCAATTCTTTATTTCTTGATGAACAAGTTTCATGATTTGGCATGTTTTGATGAAAAATGAATCTTGACACTTGATTTTGACCAAAAAGTCAAAGTTTGACTTTTCAGTATACAGTCAAAATTGATCAATTGACTGGGGAATTCAACTGTCAATCTTGTGCATTTGGGATCTTTTGAACTTGTTGAGTATATCAAGACAATTCCATGGGGTCCTTGAGTCCATATGTGAGCTTGGTTTGCCATTGGCTAGGTCAAACAGTCAAAAATTGCCTTTGTGCAGTCAAAACCCTAAAAATGACCATTTTGCCCTTTTGGTGATCTGATCAAATTTCTTGTGGAATTGTGATCCAAACTTGACCAAATGGTCCATGTGAGTTCATAATGTTGATATGGATCAAAAATCATGAGGTTTGACTGTCAATTGACCACAATTGATTTTTTCCCCAATACAGCTGATTTATAGGTCAACTGTCCAATTGACTGGGCAAAAGTTGGAATCAAGACTTGAAACTTGGTATGGATAAACTTGGGGGTCCAGCATGAAGCATGAAAGTCATCTTAGGCATTTTAGGTCAAAATATCTTTGTGCAAACACAAACCCTAATTTGGGTCAACAGTGCAAGGAGAAGTCTTGAGCAGAGGAAACCCTAACTGGATCTTGAGCTCTAAGGGTCTTGTGATGAGAAAATGTTGAGAAAATGGGAGGGAAAATTTTGGGGTACAACACATGTACATAAAATCAAACGCTAGACAACCTAATACAAGACAAATACATGAAATCAATACACAATCACACTTGCACCCCCTAGGGTAATCCCACATGTTGCCTTCCAAAATGGGCCATGCTTGCACGTCGAGTTTCTTTGGCAAAACAAATTCAAATGATCATAAGTCCCTCGATGACGCTTTCGAAAGTTGCCTAAAAAACGGAATGATCATAGTCCCTTCAAGCAAATTGCCAAAGACACTTGGCACCATTGCATTCATGGCCCATACGATGACCCGCGCCTGTCCCGTTAAACATCCTAAATGCAAGATTATCCACCAAATTCAATGGTGGAACAAAATTGTTAAAAAAGGGTTGAAAACATAGAGAAAACCTTTGAGTACAATAGGGGTAGACAAAACTCTTAGTTACTTGAGATCAACTTGCAAAAACACTTGCCTCCTTTTCAAAAACCACACTTCACAAACACTTTCAAAACAAACTCTCAAAAACATTTGAAAACATCTTTTCGAAAAGATACACACCGTTGTATATACTCAAACACGAGTCATTACAATGGTTGCCGAAACAAAGGCGTCTATTTCAAAAACATTTTCAAAACACACACACACACACACCATTTTCAAGCAATCAAAAGTCAAGGCAAGTGATCTAAAACCAAGTAACTAAGAGCCCATGGATAACCATGGATGAAAAGGGTGCTAATACCTTCCCTTTTCATAATCTACCCCCCGAACCCACGAAACATCTCAAAAGGTTTTTCCTATGCTTTTTAACCTTTCCTTTAGGATAAAATAAAAAGTCGGTGGCGACTCTTGCTAAACCGAACAAGCGCGAATGCGAAACGCAAAAAACCCAAGCCAGTTCTCCCACCGTATCACAATAACAATAACATTGCATAAAACATCACAGTGCATAAAATAGTAATACGTAAAATATCAATACCGAACTTTCTCATTGTTTACATTATATAGACTCTTATATTGACCGATTCTTTAATAGTTAAATCCTAAATTTGTCACATGTATACACTAATCAAATCCTTTTTTTTAATTAACATATATTTCTAAAGAAAACATCAGAACTAATATATTAAAAACTTAATAATTATGCATGTCATACATTTGTTCTTTTATTTCAATCATTTTCAATCAACGCATGTATTAGAAAGTTATAGAAAGAACATTACAATTATAATTCAATTTGTCTGTATAATAATTTATAATACAATCCTAAGAGATAAGTGTTGTTTTTATAATTAAAGTTGTTTTGATTCTTAATAAAAATAGTGAATATTTTAACAAAAAGTCTGCGGGAAAAACCCGCCCTGCCTCGGCCCGCTTTTTTAAGCGGGTTAGACGGAGCTGGTCAACTTAAGATACCGAGTCGAAAACCTCAGCCCAGCCTGCAAAAAATGGCGGGTCAAACGGGCTAACCTGGCGGGCCCAGCCCGTTTTGTCACCCTTAGTTGTGATGATGTGTGTATTATGGAGCATGTGATGAGGTATGATAAATATGATGAATGATGATGCGTTTTGACTAGCAGTGGTTGTATTTTATGTGTTGTTATGCATCATGCATTTATAGCATATGCTAGGACGAATAGTCTGGTGATATTTTGCAGGATATTGATCTAATGAAGTTTGTAGGACGATCCGGTCTAGTGATGGCCTTAATCCCATAGTGTGGATTGAGTGTAACTTGTGATGTGCTCCGGTTCCAAACGGGAATCGATCCTATTGATGGGGAACTTTGGAGATAACCATGACTAAGTTATCAGTGGTGTTTTGGTACCACATGTGTGAGTCTAATGATGTTGCATTTCATTATTTGTGGTATTTTACAATGTTTGCATTAAGTAATGTGTTTGATTGATTCCTGGATTGTGATGTTTTGACGTGATGATTTGGTGATTATCGTTATGCTATAGATTTAGTATATGATGTTATGTTGTTGTTTATATGTTGTAACTATTATGTCTATTCCTTATATCTTTTATAATAATTATGATTTACTCACCCTTTCTGTTAGGAAATGTTTCCTCGAAACGTGGGTAACTTGCAGATGATCAGGATTAGTGCAGAGAAGCATAAAGGATAGCTTCAGAGTGTGTTTATTTACTTTCCGTTGGAATAAAGGGAATCTTGCTCTGATATGTAACATCGGGTTGAGATCGATTGGTTGTGAACCTTACGTACTTTTGTTATTGTGTGAGAATTTGTATAACTTTCATGATTGTTGCCTTGTTTTGGATCATGAAGTTATAAACATGAAGTACGATGATTTATTTGACCATTGAACTACCTTACATGGTATTGAGATTATTTTATGAAAAAGTTAAAGACTTTTAAATTCCCCTGCAAAGTTTCGAAATGAATTAGTTGTGATACTAAGATGTTATTTAAGTTTAAATGTTTTTGCAACCCGTGTTACGGAGCCGGACTATTTGTGAAATGATGCTTATGTGAAGATGTGACATCCTTGATGTTGTTTTATATTTATTTATTAAAATATTCGTGAAAATCGTGGAATTTTAGAAGAGTGTTACAATATCCACCTCTTTGACCATCAAATCATGTGGATTGTACCATATGTTGGCTAAAGTTGATTGCATAGACCCTTTATGGATGGATTTTTCTGTCGCCATTTTCCCTTAAGATACTAATTTTTAGGGCTACATCATGGTCTTGATCTCTTCTTCTTCGTACAAAAGGAAATCAAGATCTTTAGTGGGGTTTGATATGTATCTCGAGTTAAGGGGATTGTGAGGTTTTCCAAGTTACTATTGTGAAAGGTGTTAGAATGAGAACTCTTTGTATGGTTTGGATATATATTTTGTTGTTTGTTGATGAGAATTTAACGTTTCTTGCTATTTGATGCATGTCTCTTTTTTGTTTTAGGTTTTTTTTCTTTATAGGAACAATGGGCCTCATCGTATTTGTACTGGATCTAATATGTTCTATAAGTTATTGATTGGGAGAATCTTGGGGACGAGGGTTGACAATTTCCATGATTGAAGCAAGTAGAAAAACCAGACAGAGAAATGGAAAAAATAACATGATCTAGAGAGGAAGTAGAAGTGGTCAAACCCAACGAAACAACACGAGGCCGAAGAAGAAAACACCTACTGAAGGGAACACACAACAAGTAGAACGAGACCGAGAATGACACAAGGTTGAAGAAGTCAACCCAACAAGACAATCACCCTTAAGGAACTAGTCAAGAGAAAAATCACACTACATATGAGAAGAAAGGATGACAAAGAAAAAATTTAAAAGAATCAATTAGAGAAGCTTTCTTAATAATTATCCCAGAGAGAATTCATTTGTGGTTTCATCACATAATAATTGATTTTAGCATTGGAAAAAAAATGATTCACTTAAAATAGTTTTACACTTTGAACCAATTACAATCGTGTATCTAATTACAACACACTTTTATTTTAAATTTTTTAATAACATAATAGATTATTAATTTTTTATTGAATGACACTATAAAACTATTTTATATTATTAATGCATAAATATTTAATATCCTCAAATAAAATCATTATTATTTTTTAAAATTTTAATTTTATATAATAAACAAATAGATATATCTAATAGATAGACAATGTATCTGGATAAAAAAAATTGATCTAGTTGCTATTAGCGTCGAATTTGATAGAGAAGTTCACAGTTCCATTTTCCTGTAAGATTGGGAGGGGACTGAAAATCAAATAAGCAGGGTTTCGGTGCCCCAAATTCTAGAGAAAATAAAGCAGAAGCCGTGGTGATCACAAAACCAAGCGAAATCAGCAGAACACAATCTCATGGGTTCCACCGCCGTCTCCCGCGCGAAATCAGCAGAACACAATCTCATGGGTTCCACCGCCGTCTCCCGCGCGAAATCAGCAGAACACAATCTCATGGGTTCCACCGCCGTCTCCCGCGCGAAATCAGCAGAACACAATCTCATGGGTTCCACCGCCGTCTCCCGCGCTGATCAGATTGATAAGGTTAGCAGAAGCTATAGTCCAGTATCGTTCTACATGGATTCCGCCGTCAACCAGCCTGGTCCGGTTCGTAAGGGTAACAACAAGTCCTCCGAATCAAAGATGAATAAACGGTTCAAAGAAAACTCTATTCCACTATCCTTCTACACCACCACCCTCGTCTACTACCCTGCTCCTGATCCTGATCCTACCTATGAATCTTTGATGTATATATATGTGCCAAATGAAGAAAAGCTCAGCCATCAACTCTCGTTCTACATGGATCCCACCCTCTCCCACCCTGCTCGTAAAATCTATATTCCATTTTCCACCGCCGATTCCTCTCTATTGAAGTCTGTGGCAAATGTCACCGTTCGTCGTTTCCAGGACGATTCCTCTCAATCCAAGTCTGTGGCAAATGTCACCTTTCATTTCCAGTCCTCTGGATCAATGGCAAAGGTTAGCTTTGGTAGCTTTGATTCCCAGTCCTCTCAATTCAAACCAACTGAATCAAAGGTCAGCGAATTGAAACCAACTGAATCAAAGGTCAGTTTTGGTTCCCGGTCCTCTGAATTGAAACCATCTCAATCAAAGTTAAGCTGTCGTAGCGTTGGTTCCCACTCCTCTGAAACAAAATCATCTGAATCAAAGTTAAGCTTTAGTAGCTCTGGTTCCGACTCCTCTGAATCAAAATCATCTCAATCAAAGTTAAGCTTTGGTAGTTTTGGTTCCGACTCCTCTGAATTAAAGTTCATCTTTGGTAGCTTTGGCTCCCTGTCCTCCCAATCAAAATCTGTGGCAAAGGTCAGCAAAAACTATATTCCACTATCCACCGCTGCTCCGTCCTCCAAATCAAAGGTTAGCAGAAACTCTATTCCCGATAAAGTTGCTTTCTCTATTCTTTCAAAACTGCCTGTAAAATCATTGAAGCGCTTTGGATGCGTAAGCAAATCATGGTCCATTTTATTTGAAAACACTGATTTCATGACCATGTACACCAACCATTCCATATCTTGTCATGGTTCTCACGATGATTATCATACATTTATTCTCACAAACCATTGTCTTGGTTATCGTCTTTACCACTCTGAATTCCATTTGCTCGACAGCAGACTCAAATTAAATTTGCCATCTCCACTTCAACGCTCTCGCTATTATACTTGTATTCTTGGCTCCACAAGTGTTAACGGCATTTTTTGTCTTGGGCAAACTACTGCAAATAGGGATTCCCAGTCCCTATATGTATTATGGAATCCCCTTACCCAGGAATTCATGGTAATTCCTTCTAGCCCCGCTGAACTTACACCAAAACACCGTTCAGGGATGACCGTCTATATGGAACATGTTATTCACGGGTTTGGTTATGACCAACTTAGACATGACTTTAAGCTCATTCAGTATGTATCATTTGGTTCCCACCTCTATCCTTGGCTTAAAACAAGTTTTGTTGAGATATATAGTTTAAAGAATAATTCTTGGAGAATGATCGACATGGACAATGATCTGTCTCATTGGGGTTATATTCAATGTAGGTCATTTTATGGTTTCGAAGTTTATCTGGATGGAGCATGTCATTGGTTGGTTTCGGATTGTATCAACCATCGACATGCTATGACTCTCTTGTCATTTGACTTGACTAATGAGGTGTTCATTACAACACCCATCGGGGAAGAACCTTATAATCCATACTCCGGTCTTGCACGCTTGACGGTGTTAAATGGATCAATTGCTTTAATCTCAAACTATCATGATGACCTTGTTTTTCAAATATCTATTCTGGGTAAACTTGGTGTGAGCGAATCATGGATCAAACTATATACTTATGGCCCCTTACCTTCCATCCAATGGCCCCCAATTGGATTTGGGAAGATGGGACCTATTTTCTTTAACAAAAAAGATTATGAAGTCGTCTATGTTGATTTGAGCACCCAAATAATTGAGGAGGTTGGTATTACTAGTGGAAAGACAAATTATAATATTGGCGGTCTTTACAAGGAAAGCCTTCTTTCGTTGAAGGATCATGTAACTAGGTCTTTACAAGGAAAGTCTTCTTTCGTTGCAGGATCATGTAACTAGTTTTCTTCTTCTAGTAGTTTTCACTCGAAGGTATTTAAGCCTATGGTGATATGATCTTGTTTGGGATTTGCAAAATGATTGTGTTTTCTTTAATGAATGTGCTCCTATTTTGCAATTATATATCTTTTTTTTTTTTGAGTTTCGATATATTCTGCTAGAAATATATATGCCACTCTGTATAATATTTTGCTCTTTTGATATTTTTTTTACACGATCCAACTTAGTTATCTTGGTGTGTACAGGTTTCATGGCTTAATCTAAATTACGAGTTCCATCATTTTATTCTACATGATAGGATCTGTTTCCGTATGTATTTTTCTTGTAATAGTAAGAAAGTTGTCATTGTCTTGTTATCAAATGAGTTTTAAAAATATGGCTTGGCTTACAGCAGCTGCTGTGTTGACCTCTCAAATATTTAGTTTAGTTCTCATGTGAGAACATTTATTTAATTTCTCTTGTCCAATATTTTATTATATAAGAACCTTATTTTATTGGATTACTACTTGTACAATTTAATAAAATATGTTCCACTTGAAAAAAGAATTTCTGTCTATTCTCAAGTACCAATTGAAAAAAGAGTTTTTGTCTCTTCTCAAGCACCAATTGAAAATGGAGAGCTTGTACAAATGAAAAGAATCAGTTTTACCAGGCCCATCATGACTGTTTTGTTAAACCAACTAAAGGAAATGCCGTGATTTTCTAGGGTATGGTTAGTTTAAATTTTGATTTCAATTTACCAAGGAAGAGTTTCAACCTTGAGTTGAGCAAGATGACATTAAGACCTTCTACCAAAAAAATATTGTTTTTCTGTTGTTGATATTCTACTCTGTTTTCTCTTTGTCTTTTGACTTTGCAGAGTGTTATCTAATTGCCCCGCCATGACCGCTATGGCGGATATACATGGCGGTTTTTGAGCTCACCGCAATAGTAAATATTGGCCGCTATTGCGGGTTTTTCCGCTATAATCCGCAATAACAGCGCCACAAAGCGGCCGGTATGGCGGGAGTCTGGCTCTCTGCCATGGACCGCCATCCGCCATTAACAGCACTGCTTTGCAGTCATTGTACTTCTCCTGTAAGTGCTTTCCATTGTTGTTTCCTTTATCTTGATTGCTAACCTCAAATCATTGTCACCTCCCAATCTATTTTGGGTATTCAGACTCCTTATTTAAGCCCACATGACCACTGGTTTAAGTTTCTGGCATACAGTTTATAGTCTTCTGTCTCTTGATTTTTTATTAATATGAACTTGGAATTAGTTAAGGGACCTAACTCCTCTAATGTAAACAACTCACTTTAGAGTATATAATGAGTATTATCAAATCAAGGATGCATATTATATGCACATGTATAATAAGTTATAGGTGTGTTGAAATCCTGAACTTGATGGGTTATGTCGAGATTCCTGTTATTCCACTTGTGATTGTCCAATTATAAAATGCCGTTTTTCAAGATTAAATGAAGTTTTTGTTAATTCAATAAAACGGCCATATAAGCTCAGACATATATACACACATAGTTGTGTCACTAACCTAGTACGAAGTTATATTATGTGCATGACCATTGTTAAGCAACAATGCTTTTTACTTTGAAATTATGGAGAGGGGAAAAATCAATGAGTTAAACTTGTTGAGAAACTCTAGTTTTTTAAAGTTACTGGGCAAAAGTGGCTGTTATGTAACCCCAGTCTTAGTGTTGAGGTTATTTGGACAATTTTTAGCATAATATACATTTATTTTGTAGTATTGTAGTATTAGCATGTGGGGGTCATTAACATCTCTGGATATGCAGTTCTTCACAAACCGTGATGAATTTTCTATCTTCCACAGGGAGTCCAGAAGAGTGATGTCAGAACAAGCTCTGGTATGTTTTTGAATGGTGTTGAGAGAAAACATGCTATGATACAAGTTAGTTATCAAGTTTACTTTATCTCTATCTTACCTCTTCCTCTTGTTAACAAATGAGTGTTAAAAATATTACACCAGCTAGTTTGTCCAATATTGGACAGTTTTTATGCTCCGGTACAAACTAAGGAACCTCTTTTGGGTGGTCTTTTCTCAAGTACCAGTTGAAAATGGAGATCTTACGCAAGTCCTAAGGTGAGGATGACTTATTGCTTTATTAATATCTGAACCTGATGGGTTTTGCGAGTATCAGTCTAACATCTGCCGCAGCACACAGGGCCCATCATGACTATTTTGCTGATACCGTGGGTTGTATTCTTGTATTATAGGTTTATAGTAAGCGTGAAAATCACCTCAATTGACTTCAAAAAATCATCCTCACCCTGTGCCTTTCTTTTTGGAGACAGTTCAACTTGAAGCGTGGTGGGCAGAGAATAGCTACAATGCTTGTGTATTTAGTGACAATGTTGAGGGAGGAGAAACTCATTTCCCAATGGTAAGCTTCTCATTTTTCTGAACATCATGTTGGCATGTTTAAGCATATGAGTAGCCTTAATGTAAAGCATATATTAAGTGGCATGCGGATGCCACAATTGTGTAATCTTAACTCTAGGCTCTAACCGAGAATAAACTGTGTTTTATTTTGATGAATAACAAGATGCATGTATCCTTCTGTTATTATTAATTTATTTAGTTTGCAGAACTATCAAAATTGTGTTTTGTCCCTGTAATCCGAATCTCATTCCATGTTCCTCTCATTGATAGAGTTAAATTTTGATTATCTCATTCCATGTTTCTCTCATTGATAAAACGGTACTTGCTCGAGCTGTTTATAATAAGATTGGAGACCAATTTGAAGCTATATGTTTTCTTGCCAATGTTAGTGAAAATTCAAATTTGAATGGACTGGTGCACCTCCAGAATAGGCTTCTTTCAGAAATGGTTGGATTGAAAGATATTCAGTCAGGAAATGCTAGTAAAGGAGTTTCAGTAATAATGTATAGGCTCCGCCGATAAAAAGTTCTTCTCATCCTAGATGATGTTGACACACTTGAGCAACTAGAGACCTTAGTTGGAGGACTTGATTGGTTTGGTCCTGGTAGCAGAGTTATCATTACAACACGGGACAAACATTTGTTAGCATTTCACGGGTTTGAAAGAAGATATGAGGTACAAGAGTTGAATCACGTAGACGCTCTTGAGTGCTTTGCCACAGGGTTTTTAAACAAGGCATTGTTGATCCAAATTACACAGAACTTTTAAGCCGAGTAGTAACTTATGCTTCTGGGCTTCCATTGGCCTTGGAAGTTATCGGTTCCAACTTGTTTGGAAAAAGTGTTGACCAATGGCAACATACATTAGATCGGTTTGAATGTAATCCTCCCAACAACATCCAAAATATACTTAGAATAAGCTTCGATGATTTGGATCAAGAGGAGAAGAACGTTTTTCTTGACATTACTTGTTGCTTCAAAGGATATGAATTGACAGATGTTGAAGATATTCTCCATGCTCGTTATGGTCAAAACATGAAATATCATATTGGAGCATTGATTGACAAGTCTCTCATACATACCAGTTTGGATGGTAAGGGGACACCACATCCCTTGATAGAGAGAACATGTAAAGAAATTGTCCATGACGAATCGCCAAGCGATCCTCGGAGACGTAGTAGATTATGGTTCCAAGAAGATATAGTTCAAGTCCTAAAAAATAATAAGGTAAGACTGTCAAAGGTGGTTCATGTTTTATGTCTAACCTTTATTGATCTCTATTCACTCTTATATATACTCATGTTACAATTGTTTTTCAAGTCTTACACATATATGTGTACAGTAGGGAACTAGTAATATTGAAATCATACATCTAGATTCCCTCTTAATTGAAAATGAAGAAGCAATAGAATGGGATGGAGAGGCCTTCGAGGAGATGCCAAACCTCATAATACTTATTAGAAAATGTCATTTCTCCAAAGCTCCGTAGTATCTTCCAAACAGTTTAAAGGTATTGGAATGGTGGAGATATCCTTCAGAGGAGTTACCATCTGATTTTGATTCAAAGAAACTTGTTATATGCAAGCTACCGAACATGGGCTTCATGTCACCCGATCTAACTGATGATCCTGATGTTTCACAAACTTTAGACAAAATTGCTAGAGTTATGTTGCAGATTTCACATGGGAATTTTCAAACCGAGATGGCATGGAGACTAGTTGGCCTTATGTCAAGTGTAGTTGGCCTGTCATGTTATATGCTCTAAGCCCTTCTTTCGTTCGATTAATTGGAAGGTGGAAACCTTTCAAGTTCTTTCTTTATGGCGAGCATATTGTTTGCAAAGCATTCATCGCTTTCCACAAGACATTTTCAACTCAAAACTTACATGAGCTTTGCGGTTTTGATGATCATCTCAGTGTACTCATTCTTCTACGACAAAGCTGTGAATGGAAAACCTGAAACACTGAGTATAGTTTTAAACGCTGCCTTTGCTTTGGTGTCATTAAGCTTGGACAAATTGGTTAGGTTTGGGGTTGAGATTGGTATGTTCTCTTATTTCTTAGGTTGCTTTGCAGTTCAGCTGTTAACCATCAACTGGATGTTGATTTTTGTTGCAATATTCTTTGGCTGTCCGCTTTTCGTTATGCATTCCTCTATAAATTCCCGACCAGAGGTAGCTACTGGAATTCCTCTATGAATTCCAATCATTCTAATTATATTCCATTTCTATCTGTTACTGATAATAGTTACTGTGTTAATATACCAATATATCGGTTCTATTCCTTTATCTTCTCTTCTTGCAAGTGAGCCAATTGATTGCAGAAAAACATTTCCACATGTCCGGTACTCCAAAATCTTCCAACATTATCTTCAAGGTCATTTATCACTTCACTTGCTTTTTAATAAAGTTCTAATCAATTGTTGTCATGGAAAACCCTTCATTTAGTTGTAAGGTGGGGAGGTATCTAATCTGAGAGTATCTTTACCCTCTATAGAACATCCTGGATGCAGCAAAAGAGAACTTTTATGAGAGTAAATATTGGAGATTATGAATTGCTGTTACTTAGAAGCCCTTCTAAGAAAATAAGCCAAAGTTCAAATGCAAAAACAAACATCCTCATTCCTTTTTGCACTACTTAGACAGAAGCCAAATGTGTTCTGATTATTGTGGGTTTGGAAAGTAGAATAGAAGTGGAATGCCCAATCAATGATTATAATGATGTGATTATGCTTAGTCTCTGATAAATCTCTGCTCTTAGGTCTACGGACAGTTTGTTGGGATTGTCATTGGTCTCGGTACTTTATTGGAAGATGCCACCATTAAGGTTTCTGCTCCGTTTCTGATTAAGGTCTGGTTAAATAAACAATTAAACTGAGCTTTTGATTCTCTGATTGGCTTTAGATTTGTTGGGATCTGCAGATTTCAAGATTTTTGGTTTGCCACTCTGCGCCGACACTAACTTTTTATCCACATCTGTCTTTGGATTTGGTGTGAGATTGGTTTCATATCTGTATCATTCAACTTAACGTGGATTGTTGGACTCGAAAGAGACGTTTTGCTTGCTGGTTTTTTTTACTAGAGGTTGTTGATTCGTGAATGTTCATACTAGCTTTTTTATTTTGCTATTTGATTTCGCACCCGTAATTAAATTGGCTAGAAAGTGTTTGCCATGTGTACGCTTTTATTTTAGTTGTTTTTGATTTATTTGTATACTTGAAAGATTATTATCGTGATTTGATTGGGTTTGGTTTATGTTCCCTCATTCTTTTGTAACTTTTTTATTTTATTTTATATATATTTGTCTTATTTAAAAAAAAAAAAAAAGAGTATGTTAAAATAAACTAAAACCAAAATTTGAAAATGTTAGAAGTTGATTCGGTAAGTTCTCTCAAATTATTTTATTAGTGTTTATGCTAGTAGATAATTTTAAATAAGATTTAGGCTTAATGCATATTAATGTATCATGGGTCCTTTAACTTAATTTAAAGTTTTATTTTGGTTCTGTAATTATATTTTTGGTCTTATAAATATCTCAAATTTAATTTTTAATCTCTATATAAAAAATTTGAATATGTGACGTTTTAGTCTCTACAATTATTTATGTATGACGTTTAGTCCTTCTATAAAGATTAAAAAGACTAAAATTACGTACATAAATAATTTTATAAAGTTAAAACGTGATTTTTTTTATAAGAATTAAAAGTCAAATTTAATAATTTTATAGGGACAAAAAACATATTTAATCCTTTAATAAACATTTTGTATTAGTCTCTTGAAAACTATTTTGTTAACAATTTATTTCATTTTATTAATTTTTAAAATGTCTTAGGTGAGACAATATTGTTGTCCACCATAGACTTTATTATTATTTTTTTAATTTTAACTATTTAATTTTTTAATAAATATCCCACGATTGAAAATTGATAGTCCAGTAAATGTAATGATAATTTGTCAACACATAATACTTGAGACATGTCATCCACTTATTTTTATTTAGTCACCTGTTATGGGTATAATAGGTTATTTAAAAATTGTATTAAAAATGAAGAAAATGAGTACTTTTTTTCTCGTATTTCCACAATCTCCAAACATGGCTCTGACTCCTTCTCTTTCCGATCCGTCTACAACTCACTTATTTCATAAATTTGTGGGAAACGCGTTTGAGGATATGCAGTAATAGAAAATTGTTAAGATGATAGATTAGATATTTCAATTTTGCAAATAAGTCTATGATATCTAATCACAATTAAAATTGGTATAATTACAATCCTAAACATAAGTTTCTGCTATAATCACAATAAAAATTCTAATTCACAATAGATCTGATTTCCTTTCCATTCAATAACTCTAATTAAACAATCAAATAGTTTTATGCATTACATTCCATTATCTTGTTCTACCAAGAGTAACACTGCAACAGAAATCCAATCAGCTTTATGCATCTATTTCATCTATGAATACTGTTCTGAACTGGGTCGGGTTGGCCCAAAAACAAAGATGAAGACCCAATCCAAACGGCCTTGCAGGGGGTCGCGCCAACCAAGAAGCCATAGTCGTGTCCGACACTCTTCGCTGGTATGCCATCCTCGACCTCATGCAGTCCAGCTCGACCTCAGCTCGAGCGTCCCTCGTAGGGCAGACTCTGACCACTACACCATCACCTGGATCCCGAAAAGATCGCGTCCTCGTCCGTCCATACTTCACGCAGAACATCCAGGAAGGAGACCACGTGCGAGTCCCCACTACACACGTAGAACCTGGCAGATCCTTCATTGGGCCGAACCTGCTCGGCCCAATGAAGGGACCTTGGCCCAGCGCTGGAGGCTATAAATACCCTCTGTTCCCAGAGGGTCAGGTATTCATTCTTTTACCCATACTCATACTTTTGCCTGCTCGTACTTTCACTTACTTCAGCATCGGAGTGCCTTGCAGGTACCCCCCCCATCTCGTTCAAACTTCAGCTCGGAACCAGTCGTGACGGTCCAAGTCTGATCAGGTAAGATCAGTGGCGCCGTCTGTGGGAATCAGCTTCCCCGTCTTGCAAAACTCGAAGACCAAATCTCAACTCAACTACCACTGTCATGGCTGACCAAGCTCGCGATGAACAAAACGTCCGCGTCGTCGACACCAACAACGGCCCCGCGGACAAAAACGGACACCTTGACAACACCGGCAACTCTGGTCACAACACCATCCCTGCGTCAACTGCCCCCGGACCTTCAACCTACCGCGACGGAGCCACTGCGTCGTCTTCCTCGGTCCCTTCGCCACTCGAAGAAGACGAGGCAGCTCTCACGAACTATCGGGCTGCCCAGTTTCAGGAAGTCCCCGTCCCAGCCGGGGCGGACGCCACAACTCGAGCGCTGTTTGCAGCGATCAATTAAACAAATTACCTCATCTTCGCCCAAGGGGAAAGACTGAGGGCGCTTGAAGACGACCGAAGACCCCCGAGGAGGCATCAGAGGCCCCAGACTCCACCTCCTCGAGTGACTGAAGTCCAACTCCCGTCTCCCCCGCGGAGACATTACAGAGAAACCTCTCGAAGCCAGTCACCCCGACCATCGGGGAAACGGCCCCCTTTGGAGAGGAAGCCCATCATCCAAGCCAGAGGACGTGGTCGCGACCCGGCGAGACAGGAAAGAAGACACTCCGGAGACGGGCGTGTAAGAATCAACCAACGAGCACCACGCTCGAGAGAAGCCCAGCACGACCAGGACCGTCGTGCCCGACAATATTACCGGTCCCCATCTCTGTCTCCGGAGAGAAGCGACGAGGACGACCCCCGCGGTCCCCTGTCGCAAGCTATCATGGAAGTGCCCATCCCCCGGGCATGGAGAAACCCCCGCACTTGAAGGAGTACGATGAAGTCGTGGACCCGGTCGACCACATAGACGGGTTTGAGGCTATGCTGCATTACCACAATGTCGGGGGCCCATCAAATGCCGACTATTCCCCACGACTCTCAAGAAGGCGGCAATGGACTGGTATAAAGGACTCGCCCCGGGCTCAATCACCTCGTGGCGAAACCTGAAAAACCAGTTCATCAGTTCATTCACGGCTTCTCGGCGGCACCTAAAGACCGAGGCGGCTCTCGAGGCCATCATCCAAAGACAGGATGAAACCTTGAGGGAGTTCATCAATCGCTTCAACCGAGAAGCTATACAGGTCCCCTGCGCAGACCATATGAAGAGATATCTGCTGGAGAGGGGGCTCCTCCCCGGCACGGAATTCAGAAAAGCCGTCGGCATCGAGCCACCCAGGACATTCGACGCCCTCCTCGAAAAAGCTCGGGCATACATGGACTACGAGGAGAGGGAAGCGGCCAACAGAGCCTGAGACCCCAGGACTCGCGGGTCCAACAACAGCTCGCGCCAGGAAGCTCCTCCTCCTCGACGAACCGGGGTGAAAAGAAAAGAAGACAGACCCCGAGAAGTCCGAGAATAAAGGAGACCCTCGGGGCATTTTACCGAGTACACTCCGCTCACAGCTTCCTGCGAGCGCATTCTGGCGGAGTGTGCCAGCACTGACTTCAAGGACGGCGGTGTCAAACGTCCCCGACCTGCTCCCTCCAAGCCCGGAGCAGACAAGAACAAATATTGTCAGTACCATAGGAGCCATGGTCATCTGACTGAAGATTGCGTCCACCTCAAGGACGCCGTCGAAACCCTCATCAAGGGAGGGAGGCTCGCACAATACCGGCGAAGCGACGCTCCCCGTCGTGACGCCCAGGAGACAAGGGATCCGGAGGAAGATGCCCGACCATCTGACGAGTCGGTCCCCATCCATACCGCCTTCTCTGTGACCAGGCCCGAGGACTTCGACATCCCTGAACACCTGCAGGAGCCGCTCACAACGCACAGCAGGTGGGAATATTTCCCCTCCGCCATGGTCATCAACGGCGGTGGATTCAACGACTTGACCATTAATTCGGCAAACGCGGTCATCCCCTTACTGATAAAGGCAAGAATGGCCAACTTTGATGTACATCGTATCCTCGTCGACGAAGGAAGTTCCGTCGACGTAATGTACAGCCAACTGTTCCGAACTCTACAGCTGGACGACTCACATCTCTCGCCATATGTAGGGTCGGACTTACAAGGTTTCAACGGCTCGACCTCCAAGCCTTGGGGGTATGTCGAGCTCCTAGTTACATTCGGTGAAGGAACAACGATAAGACATGTCAAAGTACGCTTCCT